CTGTTGCACTTCTAAATTGCAGAATGTAAATAGTAGTGCCCAATAAATGAACTAGTGTAAAATGACAGTCTCATATGTATATAAGATTTCTGGAAAGATATATAGACGTGACTGATGAACCATGGCTATCTATAATGACTAGAAATGGGGACTGAGGGAGAACAGCAGAATTGGCTTAATTTGTACCTCTCTTTACCAAATATTTTACCTTGAATGTATATTACTTTTCAAACAATAAAGTGGTGAGTTTGTATTTTTAACAGAATTTGCATAAATTACTTTTAAAACATTGATAAAAAATATGACCAGAAATTGACAATGGAGAAATACCTTAAAAACTATAAAAAGATATTCAGCCTTTCTAATGATCAGAAAAAAATACAAGTTAGATTTTCACCTATCAGATATTGACAAAAAGATAAAATATGTATTATGTTCAATTTCATTGAAGCCATGGGCAAACATGCTCTTGTACTTCTGGTATGAATGGGTGTTGATTTCAACACTGAGCAGGTGGACAGTGTATTGCAAAGACGGAAAAGTACAGATTTTAGGAATCAGAAAGTTTTTTTCTATAAATTTATCCTAAATAAGTAAACCAGGAAAAAAATTAAAAGTCCAAAGATATAGATACAAGATCATTTATCACTCAAAGCATTCTTATATTAATGAATAACTGGGACTAACTAAGAGGCATCAATAGAAGATTTATTATTTAAATTATGATACATTCTATTGAATACTTTGTAGCCATTAACATTTAGAGTATAGTTATATATTTATTGACACATCAGGATCTTTACAGAGTAAAGCAAGTATATTAAAGTGTCATGCATAAAATAGGAGTGCCTTTTTAAAATGTATAGGTTTATATATGTATGTGTGTGCATAGAGAAATGCTGGAAGAATATATACAAAAAAGTTAATATTTTTTGCTATGTATTAGAGTTTTTAATATTTTTAATATTTTATTTTTTGTAATAATTATACAATTACATTAGAGTTCAAAAAATCTGGTCTATAAAAAAGGAAAAATTAAAGAGTATTAATATATTTAGAAAATTTTGTTAAATATTTATATAGTAGTAATTTGATAAACTGTACTAAAATATAATTATAGTATTATTTGATCTGCAATAATTGATATTCATAACACTTTTCAATTATTGTAGGACTAGAAGAAATTGCAAAAGAAAGAGAAAAACTGAAAAAGGCAGAGAGTATTCAGATCAAAGAAGAAATATTTGAGACTTCTGAGGATACTTTAAACTGTTCAAATCCAGATCATTGTGAGCAAAAGGAAGACCCTAAAGAAAAAGACAACATAAACCTATTTCTTCAGAAACCTGGCTCTTTTTCAAAATTAAGCAAACTTTTAGAAGTAGCCAAGATGCCTTCTGAGTCAGATGTAATGACCCCCAAACCAAATAGCAGTGCCAATGGGTGCACAGTGTCTTACCAGAACAGCGGGAAACACCCAGTAGGCAGCATTCAGCCAGCAGCTACACAGAGCAGCATGGAAAAGGCAGACTCTGGTAACCTGTTCAGTGCTGGTTCAGGCGGCCCAGGGAAGTTCTATAGCCCTCTCCCCAACGACCAGCTGTTAAAAACACTGACTGAAAAGAACAGGCAGTGGTTTAGCCTTTTGCCCAGAACCCCTTGTGATGACACTTCACTTACCCACGCCGATATACCAGCTGCTTCTACATCGACTCCTCAGTCTCAGCCACCATCTAAGTCACCTTCACCTGCCCCAGCTCCTCTCCTTGGATCATCCTCTGCCCAGAATCCTGTTGGCCTAAATCCATTTGCTTTATCACCTCTTCAGGTTAGTACTGCTAAGTGTAACTCATTTTCTTTTTTCTTTTTTTTTCTTTTTGAATTTGCATTCTTTTTTAAAAATATATTTTATTGATTTTTTTACAGAGAGGAAGGGAGAGAGATAGAGAGCTAGAAACGTCAATGAGAGAGAAACATCGATCAGCTGCCTCTTGCACACCCCCTACCGCAACCAATGTATATGCCTTTGACTGGAATCGAACCCAGGACCTTTCAGTCCACAGACCGACGCTCTACCACTGAGCCAAACTGGTTTCGGCAGTGTAACTCATTTTCATGTTGCTTTATTTGATCTTTGACTCCATGAAGATTTTCCTGTAAGGGAAATCAGTTGAATATTTACCGTATTTTTCGGACCATTAGACGCACTTTTTTCCCCCCAGAAGTGGGGGGGAAAAGTCCCTGCATCTTATGGTCCAAATATAGCCTACACATATACTTTAAAAAAAAAGTTTTTTTACTTGCCCGGCTCTGTGTGGTCTCTGTGTGCTTGCCCGGCTCTAAAATGGTTCTAAATGCTGCTGTTTACTTTACGGTAGGGATGTCGAACTCAATCAGAGAAGGGGCCAAAATCTAAAATCCAGCCTAAATCGCGGGCCGAATGGTTTACTGAACAGTCGTAAACTGTCATTGTGATGGAAACGCAGCGGAGTGCAGTGATGACAGCGTGGTGCGGGCCACATTGCAAGGCCTGGTGGGACGGATTTGGCCCGCGGGCCTTGTGTTTGACACATGTGCTTTACAGGGTTGATTACATGTGTTTATGACTGTGATGTTGTGTTTTAATGCACATAAAATATTTTAGGACACTATTTGTTTCAGAATCTTTTTTTCTTCATTTCCCTTCTCTAAAAACTGGTGCGTCTTATGGTCCGGAGCGTCTTATGGTCCGAAAAATATGGTATATCCCTGCTACAGTTTAAAAACTGAAGAGAGTCAGAATTGGTATCACCAAGCTTCATCAGAACTACTGATTTCTAGTCTAAGTCTAAAACAAAGGCTTCTTAATTACTTTATAATTATTACTATTATATTCTGTCTTAAAGGAAAATATTTTGCAGAGCAAATAAGGACATGGATTTTAACATTGTTACTATATTTAGTTTTCCTGTAATTGTGATAAGTGAAAGAATATTTTTCAGAATTTTAAAAAAATTTCAGATTACAAACATTTTTTTCAAACTTCTGAGATTGTTCTACTTTTAAATTGTTTTGTTTATTTTTTCTTTGCAGACGAAAAGTGGAGTATCTGTGATGGGACTCCAATTTTGTGGGTGGTCCACTGGCATGCTTACTTCCAATATTCCATTTGCTTCACCTTTACCTAGTCTGGGATCGGGGTTGGCATTATCTGAAGGAAATGGTAATTCATTCTTGACCCCCAACGTTGCTTCAAGTAAAAGTGAATCTCCAGTACCACAGAATGAGAAAGCCTCTTCAACTCAACCTGCAGCTGTTGAAGTAGCAAAACCAGTAGATTTTCCTAGTCCAAAACCTATTCCAGAAGGTAGGTACATTGAGTTGGTAGGTACGTTGACTTTATCTCATTATAGATTTCTATGTTATAGCTGAATCTTTCTTTGATGATTTTATATGTAGTTATAAATCTTTTTATTTGCATTGTACCATTTCTTCATATTCAAAATATTTGTAAAAGATCTGCATATTTATTTTGACTTAGAAATGCAGTTTGGTTGGTGGAGAATTATTGACCCAGAAGACCTAAAAGCTTTGCTCAAAGTGCTCCATCTCAGAGGAATAAGGGAAAAGGCATTACAAAAACAAATTCAGAAACACCTGGATTATATTACTCAAGCATGCATCAAGAATAAGGATGGTACGTTCCTAAAAGAGATTTCTAAGATGTCTTGCTTAGTTTTGAGAACTGATCCTTTTATCTTAAGCTATATTTTTTATTAAGTTGGTATTACTACCTTACAGTTTTTTTACAACTTGCAGACATTGTTTTATTTCTTAAAAAAAAAAAAGAATATTCCTACCTTTAAGAGTAAGCTGCATGCATATGCACAGGTAGCATTTGTGTATTAAGTAACATGTACATGTTGTCTCTGGAATTTTATTCACATTCTAGAAAAAAGCATTGAGACATAAAGTAGATTTTAAAATAAATTTCTTTTCAAATAAATTTCTTTTCAAATGTAGTTGCTATTATTGAATTAAATGAAAATGAAGAAAACCAGGTAACTCGAGATATTGTGGAGAACTGGTCAGTAGAAGAGCAAGCAATGGAAATGGATTTGAGTATTCTTCAGCAGGTAGAAGATCTAGAAAAGAGAGTTGCATCAGCAAGTTTGCAAGTAAAGGTAAAATTGACTTGGAATAAAATCTCTTTAGGATAATGGAAGGTAACTAATATTTATTATATGCTTGATAAGTGCCAGTTACTGTGCTAAATGTTTTTACTTTATCTCATTTAATTCTCAAAACAATCCTGAATAAATTTCCTCCACCCTACAGGTAAGGAACAAGGTGTAGTAAGTGGCTAAATGTGGATTCAGACTAAGTTTTAACTCCAAAGCCCATGTTCTTTGTTCTTTCTTTTAAAAATATTTTTATTTTTATTGATTTTTAGAGAGGAAGGAAGGGGGGGGAGACAGAGAGAGAGAGAGAGAGAGAGAGAGAGAGAGAGAAACATCAATGATAAGAGAGATCATTGATCGTCTGCCTCCTGCAAGCCCCCTACTGGGGATGGAGCCTGCAACCCAGGCATATGCCCTTGACTGGAATTGAACACCGAACCCTTCAGTCTGCATGCTGACGCTCTATCCACTGAGCCAAACCACCTAGGGCAAGCCCATGTTCTTATTAATTTTTGCTGCCTCCCTTATAGTATTAAAAAATACCACTTCCAGTATGCAGTTGTTTACCACAAACAATACCAGTTTTTTCCATGAAAAAACTCCTATTATGTGTTGCATCTGGAACCAGGAACCTCTTTGTATACAAGCCATGTTATATGTCACACTTTCATTCTATGTAATTTAAAACTGAAATATGTAGCTATATCCAAATGTAGGTTATATTATGATACACACACACCCTACATATATATGTCAAGTTTTAATTAATTTATTTACCTAATGAGCATTACCAGGTCACAAAGCCATGCTTAGACTGGCTTTGAATGGACTTTATCTTTGTGCAAGAATTTTTAGCTTTGGAAAGAGAAGTGTAGAGGTTTTTCTTCTCAACTGATAATGTGTGGCTAGTTGGTTCCATTGTGTAATGGTTAGCACTCTGGACTCTGATAATGTGTGGCTGTCCCTACCAATAAATGGATTAATGATGAATAAGGGTGAAACAGACACCTGGAAAGGTTTAGAAAATGTGGTCACCATGTAATTTGATTTGGTGTATTTTCAAATGAGAGATATATGTCATAATACTTATTCCTCTGAATGATTACAATTTTACTTCCTAATTAATGCTGGCAGTTGGAAACTTTTGAGCATCTCCAAAAAAAATGTCATTTTCCAGAGCAATAAAATATCCCTTTTTTGACACAAACATAATTACTAACTTTGGGAAGCAAAAATCTATCATTTGCTGAAACTATTTTGCTAGCAAACTATATGTATCCTCCTCCTGGTACTATAATCCAGTATAAAAATGCCTCATTTATCTGGCATTTTCCACAAATGAACTCTTCTACACAAGTTAATTTTCTGGAGAAATAAAAATTATTCCAATTAGTGCCATAATTTTTAACATGTTTGTTGGATGGCTTATGTTATGCATTACACTGTCTTCTTAAATTGAGAATAATGAGTTTGATTTAAATTATGGTGGTGACACAGGACCATAGTATAAAGAGCAATTAATAGATAATGATTCCCTCAGGAAATGCAGAGAGGTTTTGCCCCTAAATTAAATGATCCTAGTGTGCTTTGTTTTTTCAACTACTTCATCTGCTTTCTATAGTCTGTCTTTGTTCTCTCTTGTGGTTAGTTGCTGCTATGTGCTAGTTTTAATTTTATTGGTTCTCTCAAACCTATTTTCCTGCAACACCTCCACCACCACCTATTTCCAATTCAAATTGGCTAATGGTTGGGGAAGTATATCATCATGCTCTTTGAGCCTGAAACGGTTTTCTGGAAATATCCTCAGTTTTGGTGAATTGACCTTATCAAGTTACTGACTGCTTAAATGTTTTGGGACTGTATTCTCGGTAGCTAAGAAAAGTGGAATTTGTTTTTTTAAGTGGGGTGTTTTAACATCCTGTTAATAAGGCATTGCTGAATTATTCTAAGAAATAAATTTCATTAGTCTTGAGTCTGAAAACACAAGTGATGAAAATAGCCACAAAACATTATTTTAACACCTATAAAGATTTAATCGGTGTTTCTTTTTTAAAAGGCAAACAGAGTTATATGTTTAGCCTGGGACCTAGCTATTATGAAGACACATTAAGCAAGTGGAACTTTCGTTTTTATTTTTAGTAAAGAAAATAGAAATTATTTTTCTAACAATATGGACTTTTTTATATTATAGGGAAATCTGCAAATCTCTAATCCTAATTCTATTGCTGAGTACATAAAAAGCCTTAATTACTCTTCCAGCTCCTCAAAAAACAAATCCTGTGTCTCTTTTTAAGTTTCTCTTTCATAAGCTAATTAATTCTTTCAACCATGAGTCCTGTGCAATGGTTTCCGGGCCCATGGTTCTCTTCTGAATAAACACCAGTGTCAATACTCTTCTTAAAATATCATGCTCATCATTGTACATAGAGATGTTGGGATGTGTTCAGGAGACTTCCTTAATCCAGTGCTATACTTCTCTTAATGCTACTTGGATTCTCTACCTTTTCACCATCCGCATCATGCATACCATTGCTTCACTGAGTATATGCTTTAAAAAAATCCCCAAGCCTCTTTCAGAGTGCTTTTAAGTGAGTTCTATCACATGCAGTATTTCTGTTACTAATTGCTTAAAGTGCAGAGCTTAAAATTTATCAGTAGTGCCAGTGCACAGATTTGTGCACATTGAAAAGAAACTAATTAGAAGGTGGCCGGTGGGGCCAGGACTGGGCAGGATGGGCCAGACATGCCCCGAAGCCAACCTCTCATGGTCCCTCCCCGGCCAGTGGCACTGGGGCTCAAAGGCCATCTGCGGAGTGAGTGGGGTCCCTCCAGCAGGTGGGGTCCCTCGGCCTGGCCTGTGGGGATCCGGCAGTCTGACATCCCCAAGGGGTCCATGCAGCTCCTGCGTTGAGCGTCTACCCCGTGGTGGTCACTGTGCATTATACCTACTGGCCAGTCAGCTAGTCAGCTGGTTGGTCAGTCACTTAGCCTTGTATCTATAATAAGAAAAGGGTAATATGCTAATTGGACTGGGCATCCTTCCAGACATCATTCTGGACAAAGCCAGGGCCGGAGTGCAGCCCGGGTCCCAGGTGCCTGCCAAGCACTGGAGGGAAGCCAGGGGAAGGAAGGCCTACTCTTACACGAATTTTTGTGCATCAGGCCTCTAGTATATATAGATTGTTCTATTTTTATTAATTTCATTTAGGTACCATTTTCAGCATATGAAACTTTTAATCTTAGTCCTTTCATAAAGAATATTAACTTTCTTTGAAACTTTAAGTCACCTGAAGATTTAATAGCCATCAATGGAGTTATTCATAAGTGTATTGGCCAAATATGGAGCCTTTGGATAGTGGCAGTTATGTTATGCATTACATTGCCTTTACACCTTTTCTGAGCTGATGAGCTTTATCAATCACCAGTTTTTGGATATAGTGTCTTTTACCATCTAGACTTCTCTTACTCTAATATAGTCTTCCTTTTTTTTTTTTTTTTTTTTTTTTTTTTTTTGTCTTACCAGCTGTCTTGTAGAAATCAAGATATACTGTATTTACAGGATTCCTTCCCTTGATTTAGTTATTTCATATTTCTCTCAAAAGATGGGAATGAGGTTCATGTGACATGACTCGTACCTAATGCACTTATGTGTACTATTCGGAATTCCATCCTTACTTTCTAAATGTTCTACTGGGTTAAAGAGGAAGAATTGATCCCAATATAAAGATAAAATAATTATCTTTTAAAATTTTTAATAAAAAATAATGTTCATTCTGATTTTCCTTTAATATGCACTTTGTACATATCTATTCCACATCAGACAGTAGACACCACAGAATTTTAAAAAATATATATGGTTTCTGCCTTCAGAAAGCTTGCCATATAATAGGACATGTATATATCTCTGCAGAATCTGGTAATTGACTGCAGTGAAGTACAGAATCTCCCATGAATTTAGAAAAAGAATACACAGTTTCTGGTGATGAAATGGAGATCAGGCAGATTTATTTAAGGAGCCGAGATGGAACTTGAGAAGATGAGTAATCCTCTGACAGTCAGAGAATATGAATTCCAGGGTGGGAAGAGAACAGCATGAGCACAGCACCAGGATCTGCAAGCTCAGGACATGTCTGGAGTCACAAGACATCTGCCTGCAGAATAGGATGCATGAATGGAAACATGAGACAGAAAGGTAGTCATAGAAAAAGTTTGGATTTTGTTAAACAGGGAATCCTTGAAGCTAGAGGATCAATATAAGCAAGCTGAGTTATAATAATTTATTATATATATGCCTACTATTTGCCTTAACTGAGTTTTAGATAACATGAGTAAAAACAGAACGTTCCCTGCCTGCATGGAATTTAGAGGTAGGAAAACGCTAAATAAGCACAGTAGTATACAATTGGACTGCCACCAGGCTATGGAGTATTATATGGTCCTATGAGAAGCCTGTATGGGGAGATTTACCCGCTAAGGGAGCTCAAGGAAGGATTCCCTGAGGATGCAGATACTAACGTGGGAGTTGCAGCGAGTGTGGGGTTAACTAGGTGAGGAGGAACAGGGAAAGCTATACAGACAAACATAGCAGCTATGCAAAGCGCCTGCAGCCAGAGGGAAAATGGTGAGTACAAGGACCTGCGTCAATGAGTGGTGCAGGAACTGCTGAAGGGTTTCTGTTCACCAGCGTGTGGTCCTGTGAAATTAACAAGCATTTAGTCTCCAGAATACTTACTGGTTTTCATTATACCTTTTGTATTATCTAAAGTTTTTATTTTTTTACTTTTCTTATAACTGCTTGTCTTAATGTTCTGTTCTTGTTTCTACCCACCACCATTAGGAAAGACAAGGTAAAAAATACTTAATAAAGATCCTTGAGATCTGCTGGTGTTTGCTGCTGACTTTTAAGTAAAGGTAATTCACCCACTGGGCACTTTAAAAGAAAACCATAATAACGTTATTCTCTCGATATATAGGGTTGGATGTGTCCAGAGCCTGCATCAGAAAGGGAGGACTTGGTATATTTTGAACATAAGTCATTCTCTAAATTGTGCAAGGAGCATGCTGGCGAGTTTACTGGCGAAGAGGAAAGCAGTGCACATGCACTAGAACGGAAGAGTGACAACCCCCTAGATATAGCTGTAACCAGGCTGGCTGATTTGGAGCGGAACATTGAAAGAAGGTATCTGAAGAGCCCCTTAAGTACCACCATTCAGATCAAAGTGGATAATGTGGGCACAGTTACTGTCCCTGCTCCTGCACCATCCATTAGTGGTGATGGTGACGGGTAGGTTATTGAGATTAACTTGAAAAATTATTGTGCTTCTTTGCTAATTGGAGCCTATTTTTCTATTGCCTGTTATCTATGTATCTTCTTGTATGTCTGTGATCCATATGGATCATGCTGTTTGATCCATATGGATCATGCTATTTGCATGGTGCTTTGTAAAAACTTTTTTTTTTTTTGTTTATTTGTTGTTGTTTTTTTGTTATGTGCATTGATAATCCTGCAAAGTAATCTTACATTTTTATCTGGTTGTGACTAAGCTTCGAGGCACGTAGCCACAGTCTGTGCACTACATCAGATTTAGTTGCTTAAACCTTATACTTATTGGCTGTTCCATGTTTTTGTCATTGCTTGGCTTTCAGTGTGATGATTGTTGCACATTCAGAAACCATAAATGTGGACATGACCTACTCAATTTTTCTATATTTCAATGCAGAATTGAAGAGGATATTGCTCCAGGGCTCAGGGTATGGAGAAGGGCACTGTCAGACGCCCGCAGTGCCGCACAGGTAGCTCTGTGCGTTCAGCAGTTACAGAAATCAATAGCATGGGAAAAATCAATTATGAAAGTTGTAAGTGTTTTCATTTAAGAAATACTATAACTGATTTACTTTGTCCTGTTTTTCCCCCCAATCTTCAGATCTTCCTTAATTGTACATTACTTATTTTCAAAATAATGTATGCTGTACTTGAGAGTTTGCTCATCTTTATTCTGCATTAGTTTGACTCTTCCTTATTTTGAGCTTTCTGAAGGAACCTATCAAATGTATTCTTTTTCTGTTTTGATTATCCCTCTGCTGAATATTGTTTATAACTCTAGCTGAAGTTGTCTTCTATATTCT